GCTCCTCGGTTCCTCCGGTGCACAGCCTCAGAGAATCACAGCCCCTCGGTTCCTCTGGTCCACAGAGCCACGGCTCCTCGGTTCCTCCGTCCCACAGAGCAAGAGAATCACAGCCCCTCGGTTCCGCCGTTCCACAGAGCCGCAGCTCTACAGAGCCACGACCCCTCGGTTCTTCCGTTCCACAAAGCCACGGCCCCTCGGTTCCTCCGTTACACAGAGCCACGGTCTCTCGGTTCTTCCGTTCCACAGAGGCACGGCCTCTCGGTTCTTCCGTTCCACAGCCCCACAGATGCACAGCCCCACAGCTCCTCTGTCTCAGCCCCAGAGAACCGTAGCCCTACATCCCCTCGGTTTCACAGCCCTACAAGCCCACAGCCCCTCGGTTCCACAGCCCCACAGCCCAGCTCCATTCCTCCGTCCCACAGCCCCCTCGATTCCTCTCTGCTCCACCGACCCAAAGCCCCGTGGGTTCTCAGTTTCACAGCCCCACTATTCTTTGGTTCCTCACTCCCACATCCCCTCAGTTCCTCAGCCCCACATGCCCCCGGGAACGGCCTGGATGGGATGAGTGGTCCCGGCTTCACTGGGGAATGCCGGTTTCCAGCATCCAAACCACCACTTTTCCATAAAAAGGAAAATAAAGCATCGCCTTTCCACCCGACCTCCCTCAGGGGTCACCTGGGGACGTGCGACAAGAGCCTGAAAGTGACAGGACAAGAGGCAATGGATTCACAGCGACAGAGGGAGGGTCAGATGGATACTGGGAATAAATTCCTCCCTGTGAGGGTGCTGGAGCCCTGCCACAGGGGGCTGTGCCTGCCCCATCCAAACCAGATTAAACCAAGACAATCCTGTCCAGAAATTCTTCCTGAAAGTATCGCAGTTGCAAAGAAGCCATTCCTGCCTGACTGGAATTCTGATGACAAAAGCAGGGTGGGCTGAGAACACGCTGGGCAGATGAAGAAAGGGAAAATGCAAAGAGCTGGGCCTTTTTTGCCTGCAGACTTGTTCCACTGAGGCTGCATAAACACACAGGTCTCTGAATTAGCATTTTATGACCTTGTTTATTCTAGTTTCAGGCTCAGTTATAAAACCATACAAAATTAATGGCACGTATTAGTTTATTTCAAAATAATTTTGTAGAAGAAAAACAGTAGGAAGAGCAAGGCTTTACTTTCACATACAAGTGGGTTTGATTTGGCTTTTTTGAAGTGTCCAGGGAAGTCTCTGACAGTTGCATTTATCAAACTTAATGGTAAACATTGTGGGGTTTTGGTCTCTGAATCTCCTGGAAGTGTCTAAAAATGTATCAGGGGTGATCTGAACACAGACAATATTTTCAAGGAGCAGTACAAAACTGGGTGAAAGTAACACAAACTGCTGCTGGTTTTGAACTACTCTCAGAAATACACAGCATTCACTGCACGAGCACATGCTCCAGCTTCTATAAGAAGCATCCAGGAATTCTCTTCTGGCATTGCAGCAGAGACTTTCTAGCATGGTAAATCTCCACTCTCACCCCAAAGGAAACATGAGAAATGTTCTTCTCCCTTCACCATCGCTGCCATCTTCATTCTTCTGTTCCAGCACAG